CTTCGCCTACATCCAAATGGTCGTCCTTGTGACAGGAGAACGAAAGACAGAAAGAGTTGTAAAGAACTTCGTTAGTCTTCTTAGAGAGACACAAAGATTTTTTTTTGTTCTTTCTATTAATACCTATTTTTCTTGGGTTGCTATGAGAATATGCTTTGTTTCCTATTGAAAGATTTCTAATCGTACATTGCAAAAGTATTCGTGAGAAAAGTCCACATCAAAGAACACTGAGGAAACAAATGCATTATCGTTGTTGAAGAAAGAAGAATCGAAAAAAATAGAATCACAATAGAGTGAATATTATTGCTGTCTGTTTTTTTTTCAACATAATAATCTGTTTGAGCAACTAGAGAGACCATGTGTTTGAAATTGATAAGATTTCAAAAGCGAACAAAATCTTTCTGTTTCTTTTTCAAGACATTTGTTAAAACGAATAATAAATAATGGTTTATTTTAGAGTTTTAAATTCTATTTAGCATCGATTGACTCATAATCTCGTTTATGAACATCAAATTGTTTAAATAAAAATAGTGAACAAGAGTTGAAAATAAGATATCAGAGGTTTTAATCCTATTTAGTATTGATCTACTCACAATTTCAGTACGGATATAGAGAACAAGTTGTAAATGAATTAAAATCAATGGGTATTAATAATATACGCTCTCACCCACTATGGTCGCCGTTTCATTCGAAGATGATATCGATGTATAGAACATAAAATTGTCCATTCATGAAACTTCACTCTGATCCAATTTCTTCAATCAATCTTAAACAAAAGAATCAAACATCATTTTTATGAGTTCACTTTCACCCAGATCCTCACAGGTGGATGTGTATGTAAGTAGATGTGGACTGTGGATGAGTGTGGAGTAGGTTTCGAGTTTCTGTAGGGTTTAGATATGGGTGTAGATGTGAGAGTTGGATGTGGGCTAGGCATGGCAATGAGTGTTTATGTTAGTGTGGATGGAGAGAAGATCTACATTCACACAGACATATGCATCCCATTCTCATGTTCAGCTCACGCCCACTGCTATACTCATACTCACAACCGCTACACATACACCGAACATTCACACCTAAATACTATTCCACACGCACATCAGCCACGTACACTCACATCCAGTATCATAGGATATAAGTGTCGGTATGCGTTGGGTGTGTACTGAAAAACAGATGTGTTACCCAATCATTTTGAAACGAAGTCTAAACCCTCGAAAAGGTTTCGCAAAAACCTTTCACATCTTCGAAAAATTTCGATAATATTGTGCAAAAGGCAGAAAGATTGCAAGAAAAGAATTGTTCGTCTTCTTCGTTAAATAGAGATTGTTGTATTTTGTTTTGTTGCTTGGTAAGTTGTTAGATATGCGAGTGTCTTTTGTTTGCTAGTAAACGAAAGCTTATTTTTATCATTCGTTTTTAAGTGTACTTGTGCAAAAAAAGTGCAAATCTGCGTCAAAGAACAGCGATAACGAACGAAACGAATGCATCATCATCATTCGAACGCAGTAGTATCAATGATAACAACTCGCATTCTTTCCATGAATGAGAGATGTGCACAGTTATAATAAGGTGACACAAGAAAAAAAATTATTACAATATAATCACGTATTTTTGAAGGCACAAAATTTTAAATTCAAGAAAACAATGAATGAATGAATGACAGTCGAAGTATATACTGTAAATACTGAGAGATTTTTCATTTTCAATTCTGCTAGTATATAGTCTCCAAAAAAATATTTACATTATCAATAATTACTTTTTGAAAATTTATCAAGAAAAATTGACTAATCTGAAAAACAACCATTCTGTACGGTCATTGTGTGGATGTAAGTAAATAGAAGTTTCTGATCTTCGCATCCGTATATTCACCATCTGAGATGCGCAAAACTTTTCGAAATACAACTTGTCATTGCAATCTTTGATGAAGTTAAAATAAAAAATACTTACATTATCATTCTCTATATTACAGAACTTATAGATTCGAATTGAGTTTTTTTTTGTCGATCTTCAATCAGTTTCGACCATTAGAAAACTGATCTTCTGAAAATTTACAGAATATTCTAGAAGTATCTTTCAGTTTATCTTATATGGAAATAGTCTTCATACTCATCTTCTAATCTTAATGTTCTCACAACAATTCTCTGAATATCACCAATGAGTCACAATGAAGAATCGACCTTTGACATGAATCGATTTCAGATTTCACCACTAAAATATAATCAATCTTATTGATTTTATTTCATTCAAGATCATTATTTCCAATATAACAAGAATGATATGAGGTGATTTATATTATTATCTCAATAAACATATATGTATCTCGATGATTTGAACAGATTAGCTTGGATCTGTCAATTAGTAGTTGGTTAGGTTCCTCTAATGTGTTTGCCAATTAATCTTTATTGTTCGACATAATTTCCAAATTGTCATTTTTGTATTATATTATTGAAAACATTTATTATTATATTTGCTATTCTTTTTCTTCTTATCTTTGATTTCAACACTATCATCAACAAATGATGCATTGAAGACAACATGAAAAGTAATAATTATTTTCTTTCTATTCTATCCGAATTATATTGTTTCGAATGTTATTCGAAAATTTTCTCAACAATCGTTTTTGTGATTAAAGACTGCCGAGTAAAATATTATACATTAGAAATTTTTTTATTGAATATAAAATAAATAATATTTTTCAAAAATATTAAATAGAAGTTTCATTGTTACTAAAATCTTTCAAATAATTTGATGAGTAGTGAACTGCGTGATTGTGACCAATTTTTCTATTGGAAGTCTATAATACAAGTTGTATATATTTACACATTGTTAATATGGACAAAGTATACAAAAAAAACGAAGTTTCATAAATTGTAAAGAAATAAAAACTAGAACAATGTTCATATCATTTCAATAAACATAGATACAATTTTTAACTGATAGATCGTGTTCTACACTATAGTTAAAACGTGTTTTTTGAAATTCAAAATAATTTTCAATATTTTAGAAGGAAAGGAGTAATTTCTCCTACAAAGTGTACGTCGTACACTCTGTTTTTTGGAGAAATTGTACAGTAGTTTGTATTTCGGGAGCAGCAGATATTATGTGCATATCGCTTTTACGATGTACAATTACTAATAGAAATACCACAGGATACTGAAAACAAGCAACTTCGACTATTTCATTTTGTTCGTATTGATTGCGTTCAATGAAATATACCATATAGATAATACTGTTATACCGTAAAGAATTTTTCTCTAAAGATGTTTAAACACGAATTGTTTTTCGTGATTGTAACCAAAAACATGTTAGTCATGCAGGACACTATTCATAAGTATTATGGCCATTGCAGTAATTTTGTTGAACTGTCATCTTCAAATAATGATTTCAATTTGAGTGAGTCAATCATCAAAAAAAATTCTACTTCGAAGAGACAAGTCTTTCAATATATTTTTTTGTAAGCTACAAGAAAAGCAAAATTTCTCCATCATTCTTTTCGTTTTTTTTATGTATAATTGAATAGAACACATGGGATTATCTAGAAAAAATGCCTCTCTAATTTTTAAAAGTAGGTTTCTCAAAAAAAAAATCTCAAATTTGAGATTTTATTAAAAAATATGTTAATGTTTCATACAGCTGTGAATATAATAGTTATTTTCATTTTCTCCAATTTAATAAATATTTTCTTTTTTCGTTTCACAACATATAATTGACTAGAAAAAAATAATTTATTAAGATTGTTAAAATATTGTGTAATTATGCTATGATTCCATATTGAGAAAAATAATTTTTTCAATAAGACTGACGAAACAACAAAAAAACGTTCCTTGTATTTAGAGATTTTGACTATCAATAATTGAAAAACAAGGAAAAGAAATATGATATCCAGAATTAACATAAGAAATTATCTTTTATCAAAATTTAATCTCTACTCTATCATTGACCCTTTTTGATTCATTTCCTCTGTGGTTCTTCTTAGGCGACATTTCGATAAAAAGTATTTTATAACGAAATCTGCGCTTTTTTTTGGCTCAGTTTCATACTTAAACATGAAAGCAACTTTTATTCTTTTGTCACTGATATTGAAAAAAACAAAATTATCTTTCTCAGCAAGAAATCAAAGCAAAAAACGTAGGATACCTTAGGTCAGGATTCGAGTATTTCCTGAAAGGATTCGCTCCAGAAAACTTTTCAAAATAGTCTAACAACTTTCCAAGTAGAACTCGACCAGCTCTATCGAATGGACACCTTTGGAGCTCAATTTGATAAACCCTTCCGTTTAGAAACGGTCAATCACAGGTTCGATCCGTAGATTTCTCCTAAGACCTAAAGAGACTTGCCCAGGAGTACTTTCCAAGTCCAACATATAACTTCCCGACTGAATCTAAACGAGATCTATCGAATGGACACAATTGGAGCTTGATTCGATGCTCCCCTTTCCAGAGAAACACCTACTTTAGGGCCCAATTATTCAGTTTTTCAAGAAAACCCGAATCGATCCGTTCAGAGGTGCTTTCCAACTGAGACATATGGCTTTACAAATAGATCTCAACGAGATCTATCGAATGGAGACCCCTAGAACTTGATTCAATGCTTTCCTTCTGAGAAAAATGCCTGATCCGGGATCCACTCGTTTCGCTTTTCAATAAATGCCGTAGCGAATCGCCCTAGAGTTGTCTGCAACTCTAATACATTACTTTCCCAATGGAATCTGATGCGCTCTACCAATTGGATACATTTTAAGCAGAATCAGATGATGCTGGGCCAAGAAAATCTGCAAAAAACTCGGAGTATCCTAGGCTTTTCTGTAAAAGCTTACAGGATTCGTTCGAAAGCACTTTCCAACAACTAGATGAAAGTTTTGAAGTAGATCGGGATCAGCTCTACCGATGGAGCACCTTTTTAGCCGAGTCCAATATGGTTGGCTTTTGGAAATGCCCGATTCAAAGTCACAAATTCAGTTTTTCGTGGAAAGAGCCTGTCGCAATCCGGCCAACTATTGGTTCCATCTACATAATTGATTTTTTGCTGATAGAACTCGACGAGCTCTATGTAAGAGACTCTTCTCTGATCTGATTCGTGTATCTGGTGCCACCATGATCCAGTAATTTCCGCATACTTAGTAAATTTTTCACATTGAAGCCGGTGTGCTTGGCTTAGAATCACTCTTACAGCGGGTGACAAAACTGTACAGAGAAATATCAGCAATCTCTTTCAAAAAGACGGCTCGTCCATCCGATTCAGGTACTCGCTGCCCTCCCCGAAAGCAAAATGCTACTTTTTGCATAGTTAATCAAGATGCTTCAGGGAATCAGCGCGGATGCTTCCAGATTCACGCAGTTTCTTTTGTTTCCTCCTAATTCACGCAGAGAAAAGATAAATAAGCACTGAATTCGGTTACAGAAATCATACAATGAATCTTTTTCTTCGCTTTGAAATAAGATGCTGCTCGGTGAGTTATTTTCCTTCTCGTTGTCTTATCCCGCATGATAAATTAATTTTCTTTTCTTTCTCTTGATATCGTGCACGATAAATTCTTTCCCCTCTCGTTTCATAGTTCTCCTCGAATTAAAACCCTTCAATCCATTCTATTACAGCTGTTGATTGGCCGGCATGTGCTCATTCTATTGATTGTATATTTTGCGAGGCATAAAATATATGGTCTGGAGGCAACTACGTACGCCATCAACCCTTAGAACATTCACCCGGCTATCCATTCGATTGAATTCTGCGAGTTCTCGCTCGAACCATCAATCGTGTAGTTTGAACCAAGGATGGGGTGAATCGTGACAGGTTCTGCCACGAAAAAGCTAATTTCTCACAGGAAATAATAGGTTTTCAAAAGACAGAGGCATCAAATTGAGCTCGGAAACTGTCCAATCGATAGAACGCGTCGGACTCTAATTTAGAAGTTCTACGAAAACGTTAGAAAGTCCTGCTAGGCGAATCCTGACAAGTTTTACGGAACAACCTAGGATTTCGGCTAGTTTTTGCTGATTTACTTTCCTCAGGAGCATCTGGTTGTACTCAAAAGTTGCCCATTCGATACATCTCATTTAGATCTGTTTAGAAGGTCATGTGTCCCAGTTGGAATGTATTTCTCAGTGAATCCTTACGGCTTTCATTAAAAACTGAACAATTGGGCCCCGGATCAGGCGTTTTTCTCAGAAGGAAAGGGTTGAATCAGGTTCTAAGGATGTCCATCCGATAGATCTCGTTGAGATCTATTTGGAAAGCTATATGTCTCAGTTGGAAAGCACTTCTGGACAAATCGATTCGGATTTTCTTGAAAACTGAACAATTGGGCCCCGGATCACGCGTTTTTCTCAGAAGGAAAGGATTGAATCAAGTTCTAAGGGTCTCAATTCGATAGAGCCCGTTGAGATCTACTTGGAAAGTTGAATCATTTCGCTGGAAAGTACGTCTGAGCTAATCGCGACAAGTAATATTTGAAAAACCTGGTTTCTGGTGCGGATCGAAGGTTTTGAGGGCGAGAGGTGTATGGAATGCGGCACAAACGATGTGTATTCGATAGAGCTCATCAAGATCTACCTGGAAACTCAATGATTAAGTTGGAAAGTATTCCTGGGCGAATCGCGACAAGTTTTTCTAGAATTGTATGCATTTTACACGTTTTTCTGATGATATTTGGGGATTTTCGTGGTTTGAGGGGGCTAGAGAAAAATGAATTATGTGGTTGGATAGAGCTCGTCGAGTTCTACATGGAAAGTTGTTAGACTATTTTGGAAAGTTTTCTGGAACGAATCCTTTCAGGAAATACTCGAAATCTGACCTAAGATATCCTACGTGATTGGAAGAACTTGAGGAAAATATCTACTGTTTCTTTAAAGCATTATTTACGATAAAAATAAAAAATAAAAAGAATACCTGAAAAATATGGATAAAACCGAGCATGTACCTTATGATTGACCGTACGAATTGATTAAAATATCCATATGTCTGATTTTGTTATTACCAGTTCATTGCAACTGAGAATGTAGAATCATCTTTAGAATTCATTTATGAATTAGTATTAACTAATACCATCATCAACGAACATCGCATAAGTTCTTTTCGACTCTAAATGTCTACGATAGAGTTATACAATCTGAGTATTGATTGAAAACATATAGAGAAAACAAGGTTGAAAATTTCTATTATAGTAACGAATACTGAGCTAAATTATTTTTATCCTATGAAAATGTCCAAGAATCACAGCACGCATAAACTATATCAATGTATATATTATTTTTAATTTATTAGAACGATATGTACAATGTGTGTGAAAAATCTAGTACTTCAAAATATCAATTAATCCTTAAAGTTCCGTCTCATTGAACGACTAGTCAAATGACCTGTGAAAGTTAAACTTGCACACAATCTGAAAAAAAAATGACTGAATACTATGTATGACAGACAAAGGATATGTTTCAGTATAACGTATTGCGACGAACAATAGTACTTTATGTGTGAGTATAATAGTGTATAATGGTCACCTAGGCCGATTAAAGACGTTGAACTCTGATCCAATATCGAATAGATCGATCAAAAATACCAGAAAGGATAGATCAAGTGAAGCTTCGATGAACCAACGAAAAAGAGTCATTAAAGTTATAGTGTCAAAACTGTTTGAGTGTCGTACCCATGTGTAGAAGAATGCAGTAGATACATAAACAAATATTAATGTAATTTGTTTTACCATAATATGACATCGATGATGTGATTGTTGGCCACCTGAATTATTTCCATTTAGAAAATTGTTATACAATCGACGACGATGTGAAATGGTTCTCGTGAACATGAAATAAGTAATACTTATCGGCATAATTATAAAACCAAAGACAGATTCAATAAACGATGTATATATAACTTGTACTCGTAGCCAAAGAAACATATTCGTTAGACATGCTGGTAACGACATTGTCACTTCGTTTTTCATTGCTTCAGATGAATTGAGAAATACAACTATGTCGTTATCAAACAACATTGATCAAATATTTGAATGAACGACAGTATGACTGAATGCATCGTACATATATGTTGTAGGCAAAATTGAGATTCGGGAAAATTTTAAATTTGTCTAGGCAAAATTAGAATGCCGTTAGAGATAAATACATACAATCAAAACAATTAAAACTGAATAGAATATCTTTTTATTCAACAATATTTCTTCATTTAACTACACAATTTATAAAACAAAATATTTTAATCTATTCATCCATATTTGTACAACCACCTCGTTTTGAATGACATTTTGTCGAACATGAAACTTTCATTTTTTTACAGGAACATTGTTTTGTAGCACACTTATCCTTGCAATCGCAGGTTTTACCAGTTATTGATGCGCGTACGTAAAGCTTACATGCTTCAATAAATGTAATATCCTTTAACTCATCAATAATAATTTTTTTTAATGCTTTTGAACAAGCCATTTTTAAGTCAATAAGATGTTCAACTGAGCACATATTTTCTAATTTACCATATTGACATGCCAACTTAAACGTAATTTTTCCATCTTTTTCAATTTTTTCGATAATTAAGCATGGTAAAAGTTTTGCATTAGCATTTGTTGTATCAACTGTATTAATCTTAACACCAACACAATCATTTAAATTAAATTTTTCTGTTTCATTAATTATACTATCTTGATAAAGCTTCATTTTTTTATTTGCAACATTCAAATAATTATTTGTAGCCATTTTTCGAACAAGATTATGCTTTGTTGGTTTTGGTTTAACTGATGGTGAATGTGGTAATTAAATATCAACTAATGAACTTGCACCAGCGTCATCAGATAATTGTTGAACAAATTGAATAATATCTTCATCAATATTCTCAGGACAATCATTGAAATCATTATTTTTATCATTCATGATATTATCATCATTTAAATCAGTAACTGGTGTAGGTAAATCTTCTTCATCAATAACTCTGTTTTCTTCAGCAATTTTCCAAAAATCTGAATCAGAACGAGGTGCTTGGCCGAACATAACTTGATATGGTGTTGTTTTAGTGACAACCGATAATCTTGTATTAATGCCATAAACTACGGGTAATAAACCATCTGACCAATGTGAAGAATTGTTTATACTCATCCATTTACCAAGAGCATCGCATAAAACTCCATTTGCTCTTTCAATGCAGCCTTGGGTTTGCGGATGTCTTGGTCTGCCTCTAATAAAAATCATATCTGGAAATAATTCCTTTAATTCATATATTACACTTGCGACGAATTCACGTCCATTGTCACTATGCAATATTCTTGGTGGCCCAAAAACAAAAAATAATTCACGTAATTTTAATGTTACATCGACAGCACTTTTGTTTTTTAATGGATATGCCCAAGTAAATTTGCTGAAATGGTCAATAGAATTCAAGATCCAGTGATAAGTAATGTCTGAGTTTAATACATCAGGTCTGGTTCTCATGTCAATCAAATCAATTTGTAACCTTGTCATTACTCCGAGTGAAATAATAGGTTTAGTAATTACATGTTGTTTAATTGGTTTTCGTGTTTGACACGAAATACGTTGTTTTAAAAATATTTCAACAGCAAATCGTGGAATCCATGAATAATGAGAATTAAGTTCATGTATTGTTTTATCACGACCTCCATGAGAAATAGTAGTATGTGCTTCACGTATAACATTATAATAACTTTCATAAATACAAATGGGTTTTTTGGATTTTATATAACAAGCAATATCAATACCAGCAATTTTAATTACAATGAAATATTTTTTTACCCAAAAAATAAATTTTGAAGAAAACAAGCTTAATGGTTTGTCCTTGGATAATAGTAAAAATTTAACGATATCATCATAAACACTCTGTTTGATAACACTTTTTGCTTGAAATTTTTCACTTAAGGAATTAATATGTTTTTCTAATTCTGTATAATAAACCAATTCGCCATTATCTATTTGCACTATCGTTGAATCTGATTGAGACATTTTTTATCAGATTATAATGCATACATCTATATTGAAACTGCTTAGTAACAAGACTGATACTATTAGTGATTTTTTTTTTCAGTCTATTCTACTTTTGATAATTGCTTTGATTGTATGAATTTATCTCTAACGGCATTCTAATTTTGCCTAGGCAAATATAAAATTTGCCTGAATCTCAATTTTGCCTACAACATATATATACCAAATAATATGAATACAACCTTTCTATATAAGGAAAAAAGCAATAAAAAAGATGAATGCAAAAACAAAACTATAATAATTTGTTATGATAATCTTTCATTAGAGTGTGACTGTGTCTTCTCTTGACGTAGACATCGGTTATCAGTAAGCCGATATTGATTATGCAAAAATAAAATCTTTCAAATTCGTCTTTCCATCAGAGTTTTTAATTTTTATTATGAAGAGAATTTTTTCGATATTTTGTACTTTCGATCGAAGATTTACCTAATAAATTCATATAGAAATTTTGATAAATGTTTTCATTAAGATAATAATCTGCTACTAAAAGTTAAAAGTTTATATTGATATATCTTGTTTTTATGAAATAAAGAATGTTTCACATATTGACACAATGATTGTTTAAAACAAACATACATATTTTACATATCTGATAACACAAGAAAGGTGTGAGCTGTTCTCTGTATGTTTTTTTCTCTTTTCTTACCCCTTCATCTTGTCACTAAAACTTATCTTTTCTTTGGTTTCTTAAAGTTAATATATTACACTTGACATTGAAGATGTTCAGAACAGACTAATATCAATTCATCGAATAGAATCAAACATAATGAATAAACAAACAATTGATACTTCATCTTCAGACCAACAATATAATCAAATTATAGTAAATACATCTGAAGATTTATTAATCGACAACAGTACAATCGATGACTCGGAAAGAGAAACTCAACCTTTATTAGATGAATATAAAGTAGAACAATCTTCATCAGGTTTTATTGTATGTTCAAATTTACCTGCACGTTATGCCCTTGCTATGTGGGCTTTCTTTGGTTTCTTTTGTTTATATGCAATGCGAGTTAATTTATCTGTAGCTATTGTTGCTATGGTTAGTAAATTGATTATTTAAGATATAGAATTTTGAAATATTTCTTTTAGGTAGCACCACAAAGTGCATTAAATCAATCAATTGAAGCATGTCCAACAGTCGAAAAAAATTCAACAAAACCTATACCAGTAGATATTCTATTTCTTTCTTTTTTTTTTGTTCTATCTTTTATTGATATTAATTTAATAGAAATATGAATTTGATTGGGATCAGGCTTGCCAAATCGAAATTTTGGAAATCAGGAGTTTTTTATTAAAAAAACAGGAGTTTAACAGGAGAATTTCTTTTATAAATCAGGAGAAAAATCAGGAGGTTTTCTATTTGAAGTTAAGAGAACATTAGGTGATTTTTTCGTAGAAAATTCGAATTTTCGCTCACACAAGCACTTTTATCTCTTTCCTATCTACTTGATGATCAATAATTTAATACAAATGATATTATTGTCACTTGTGTTCTATGACAAGTAATGTTTTTTGCTATATAGAAGAACAGAATCACGAAAACATTTTTTTTAGTTATATCTATTATATACACTTGGCCAGTTCATATTCTTATCTCCATTCTTTCCAGATTCTTTTTTATTCTGATCTATCAGTCAAAATTCTTTTCCATTGTGAAATTTAAGTAAAAGTATTTATAGAGTATCCCAAAATGATAGATTTCCTTTTATTTTTGAATTTTTTAACAAAGACGGATAGCTAGGTCAAATTCAAGTAGTGATTTGGATAGCGCTTGAAATTCTCTATCGAATACAGTATGGGCCAGAATTTTCAAGGAAACTTTGCGAAGAGAGTTTCCAAGAAAACCGTTCCACTGAAATTTCAGGTCCTAGAGGACTGTGAGAAAAATATTTTTAAATATAGTCATCCGAAAGAGAAAAAAGTTCTTGGCAAAATGAGGGATCGCCAAGCTATCCATGATGCTTCGTCGCAAAGTTATACGCATAAGAAAAACCAACAAAATATGTTTTTAGCCGATTTTTTAGCGGTCCTTTGATAAATTATGCAATTTGTTGAGTTCTTCTAATTCTTACAACTTGGCAGCAAAACATCGTAGAGAGCTGGGCGACTCCTCATTTTGCTCAGAATTTTATGCTCTTGCAAAAGACTCTATTTAAACTATTTTTTGTTAAACTCCTCCAGAACTCAAAATTTCAAGGAAACGGTTTTCTAAAAGACTTTCTGCACAAAGCTTCTTTGAAAATTTTGGTCCATATTGTATTCGATAGAGAATTTCAAGGACTATCCAAATCACCATTTGAATTTGACTTAGCTATCCGTTTTTGTTGAAAAATTCCAAAAATAAAAGGGTCCCTATAATTTTGGGATACCTTGTATATGAATTAATAGAACGATAGACTCTTACCAGAATTGGAAAAAAAACGATCATTCTTTGTTTCTTACATCACTATATGAATTGCGTACATGTGCTTCTTCGCTCATTTTTGCAATGAGCTTTTTATACCGTTAATATGCTATAAAAACAAGTTAACTTTTAATAAAGGAAGTTGTTTTTCTCTTAAGCCTTTTGTGATCTATTAAATGGACATTTTATCGAAATGACTATTACTTCTGCTTCTTTTTTATTGGTGCCTTCACTTTTTTTTATTGTATTATACATCTATTCATTCTTTTTATGTTTGTAATTTCTATCAAACTTTGACGACAAAATAGCAATGCAAATGAGCCTATAGCGACTCCATACTAATAATGAAAATGAAATACAAGAATCTTGCTATGTTATTCAAGATATTGTCCTATTCTGAGCTAAAATGGATCCGACGTGATTCCCACGAAATGCAAAATTCTTTCCAGATGAGAGATATCTTGGCTGGTCATTTAAAGTTTTGTCTATCGGTCTCTTTTTTGATTTTCAAGATCTTGTTTTCCAGACAGTAACATGTACTTTTCTGCTATCTCCAGTAAAACAAATATTTTGTATACAATTAGGTTATGTAATTGATGATTTTTCTTAGAGAAAAATGAAATAAAAGCAAGTATTTTCTTATTCGTTACTATTACTATTAATTACCGCGATAGTTCTCTTTTTTCCTTTTAACTCCCTTATTGGTTCAAACTATCGCTAACAACCAAGTAGGAAAAAAACTAAAAATCAGGAGAAATCAGGAGAAATTGTTGGAAATCAGCTCCTGAAATCAGGAGATTTTCTATCAGGAGAAAAGTCCAAAAATCAGGAGTCTCCTGGTCAAATCAGGAGGTTTGGCAAGCCTGATTGGGATCCATCTAAAGAAGGATTCATTCTAGGTGCATTTTTCTATGGTTATATTTCTACTCAAGTGTAAGTTAAATTTAAAATATATTCTTCGTACTTTTTTTAAATCATAGATCTTTTCTAGGATTGGAGGTAACAAAAATGTTTTCAGATGAATTCTATATAGAAATGTATTGTTTATAGGAAATTTAGCAGAGAAATTTGGTGCGAAATGGATATTTGGTGGAGGAATATTTATAGCTAGTATTCTAACACTTTTAACACCAGTTGCAGCTCGTATTCATTATAAACTATTCATTGCTCTTAGAGTAATAATGGGTATGGCTTCTGGTCCAGTATTTCCATCGGCAGCAGCTCTCTGGGGCAAATGGGTAACAGACTAATCGATCGAAAATATTCATCTTTTTTTTTGCCTTATTTGAAAAGATACCAGCATCTGAACGTAGTACTGTTCCACCGACATCTCAGAGTGGTAGTGATATGGGTATAGTATTTACAACGCCACTAATTAGTATAATGACTCAAAATGGATTTCTTGGTGGATGGCCATCAGGATTTTATGTTTTTGGTATGATAATAATAATAAGAAGAAGAAGAGGAAGAAAATAAACAAAAATATTCCTCTATGATTAGGTATTATTTCATGTATATGGTTTATTTGTTGGTGTTTTTTTGGTTTTAATTCTCCAAATGAACATCCACGTATTTTAAACAAAGAACGTCTTTTTCTTAATAAACATATACCGCCACGTCCACCAAAAGTAACAACAGGGCGGATTACATGAATCTCGGCCCGGTGCGAAATTTTGGTGACTTTTCGACTCATGTCGGAAGTCATACAGCACTTTTGGCCTAGACTTAAATTCCTCTCAATAAATTCCTTAAAAACTCGAAATCCTATAAAAATTTGGAACGCTCTGTAGTACGTAGCAGCATACATTTTGGCCTTGATTCCGATCCCGGCGGGACTAGAGCCAACAATTTTCCATTGAGAGTAGTATCTTTTATGGTCGTGTAAAATTCACGTTAAAATGTCATATTCTCACGACTCAGATGTTCTAAAAGTTTATGCAAAAATTATTGAGTAACAATCACTTCAATATTTGTTATTACAATTTTGATAGTAAACTCAATTCTTTCTTTTTCGTAAACAACAGAGTTGTCGAACACATAAACGAGTTGAATAGACGAAGTATTGGTGAATTAAAAAACTAATGAATCTTCAAGGGGAAGAATTTTAGAACTCATACGGGTTGTGCAAGATGTCTCAAGGTCATTGACACTACTAGAAAATGATATCATGTTTTTCGCTAGTACATATATTACTTAGGGCGAAACCAGAATCAAAAAAAATTTTTCTGACCAGGACCAGGACCAAAAGCGATTGATCTGCGCTCAACATTCGATGTGCTCTTCAGAGATAACTATTACTTTTATGTAATAAGTATCAATGTAAAAGGTAGAATACTCAATAAAACTACCAAGTGGTATTTCTCTGATCCACGTTTAACGAAAATCAATGTTTCTTCATAAATTTTGTCAAATTTTCGACCTTTTTATTGCATATAATTTCTAAGCACTATGTCGTCTTGCTGAGCACTATGGAGTGTACTGAGTATTCATAGAAATAAAACTTTATGAGGATTAATGAGAAGAATTTCAATCTGGTGCGAAAATTTGACCTCTTAACAGAGCAGTGTACCATCATATTGTATATATTTCAATGTTTTTTTTCGAAGCACCAAGCTACACCATGGAAGAAAATTGCTTGCTGTCCATCTGTTTATGCTATTGCTATAATGCATATTTGTTGTAATTTTATTTATTATACATTATTAACATCATTACCGACTTATTTTTCTACTATACTTAAGTTTGATTTACAACAGGTTTTATATTGATTTAGTTATATTGCTTCAATTTTTTATTACTTTTTTTGATTAAGAATGGTTTTATTTTTGCTTTACCTTATTTTGTACAATCTTTAACAACAATTATCGTTGGTCGAATAATTGATCGCAGGGTTGGAACCGGTCCGGCAAACCGGTACCGGTCCGGCCGGACCGGTACCGGACCGGACCGGACCGGTTGAAGAAATCGACCGGGCCGGTAAAGACCGGAATTTTACCGGTTGAAAGTTTTCAGAAATCTTCTTTGTTAACCCTGTTTTTGACCATAAAAACTAAGGTATCACATGTTTTTTCTGTCAGAATACGTGAAAAAGTACTCAAAATATATGTTATATTAATCGTTTTTTCTGAGGTTCTCTTTAAAAAGATTTATTATGATGAGTGCCTTTTACATGCGCCTTAAACTATTTCATATTTGGAGCCATTTTTTCTAAAAATGGGTTTTCAAAAAAAAATTCGACATTTTTTCACCGGTTTTTAACCGATTTTCACCGGAATTTCACCGGTTGGACATGTGATTCCAACCGGCCGGTTTCCGGCCGGACCGGACCGGTAGGATTTTTCAACCGGCCGGACCGGACCGTTTTAATATTTCTCAACCGGTTCCACCCCTGATTGATCGTCTAAGAGCACGTAAGATATGTTCTATAACAACACTTCGAAAAATACAAACAATTATTGGTAGAATAAAATAACTTTGAATAACTAAAAATATTCTTTATATATATATTTGAGGTGCTATTGGTACATGTGGATTTTTAATGGCTATTGGTTATATGGGATGTAATCAGCTTCGTGCTGTTCTTTGTTGTATTCTTGCTGTTGGTTTTCTTGGTTTTCATACATGTGGTGCACTTATTTCGCAGCTTGATGTTGCATCAAATTATGCCGGTAAAAATTTATATAAGGCTGATTGAATTAGAGAAGAAATCTTGTAATTAGGAACACTTGTTGGTATTACAAATTCATTAGCAACAATACCTGGTTTTGTTGGTCCATATGTTGTTGGAGCTATTACAAAAGATAATGTAAGATTTCTCGTCTTTCTACTCTATGATGAATAGTGATTGAATATTTATTTAATAGCAAACAGTTAAAGCTTGGCGTCTTATATTTAATATTTCAGCAGGTATTGGTGCTTTTGGTAGTCTTGTTTATTGTATTTTCTTCAATGGTGAAGAACAATCATGGAATCGAATAGAACATGAAAACGACACGATTGAATAAACGGATACTTGAAGAAAATAAAAGATTCTATTTTTTTTT